GAAAATGTTTCAATTGTTGTTCATGTATTGAATATGAAGTTCTCAACTCAAATTCAATCAACGATGTGAATGAGCATGCGACAATTATGAGGAAGAAAAAATATAGGTCTATGCTAGACCTCCAAAACAAGGTACTATCGGAAACTAAAAAAAGAAAAGAGATCGTGCCTTAAGGAAATATAGAAGTAACGCTCGAGAGGTGAAAACCTTGAGTGAATGCACCAGTTCCCTGTCAGACTCAGATTTCAACCATAGGAAGAAAATGATTGTGAAAAATATCATCAAGTGTGGGAGTTTGCAAAGGAGCTAGGTTTTAGAGTTGGTGGCGATGAAGAGGATGTTGTGACCGAATTTGCAAGGTTAGATGGTTGGTAGATTTTAGCAACTTTGTTTCAATGGTGGTTATGTAAAAAAATAAGTTGTATTGTAATCTTCGGTCGCTCAAAAGTATGAAGGTGGTTATGTACGACACACAGTCAACCATTTAGAATGCCACACGGAACCACCAGAGTGGCTAACCCAATTTTTCCCTGCATTTTCAAAAGTTTTAAACAACCCATATTAAACAAATTTAAAAGAGGAAGATCCATACATAAAACATTGTTGAAATTTTGTATCAGAGAGCTCCCAACATATATATATATATATATATATCAAAATATACATACCAACTTTTCAAATGAGTTACGACTCGACTTTATAACAGGGTCTATAAATATGCATTCCCTTTAAGAAAACTTGAGACATACTCTACTATGCAGTTATCCTGGACTTTGGTCACTCAAAAACTCCTCGAGTGCTCCCCCTACTAATCTGCATAAGGAAACAAATTCCAAACGTTGAGCTAACTAGCCTAGTGTCACGCTAACAACTAAATCGTAATAAATGTGAATCAGTAAAATGCTCAAGCTATCAAGTCTAATGCATCAATGAGTATACTTGTATACTCACTCTCTACTCTATGGTAGACATCATGATGCATCTGAGGGTTTTGCATCATGGAGCTCACACACCTTCTAGTTTATCGAGGATGAAGCCCAAAATTCAACATCGGTCAACATCCTTAACTAACCCACCCCTTAAGAGTGTCAGGCCTTGGCCCTAGTTAGTCAGTTTAAAGTACTTTGAGCACTACCTAAGGATATACGAACTGATTCTATTCATCGATACTAATCTCATCTACTAAAGTAACTCGGGTGTCCTGATCGTTTCTTGAACATTCAAACAAGGCTAGTTTTATGTCACTCTAACTTATTTCGTTTCTAGTAAACTTGGACATTATTCTTGTTCTCACTTGTAGTCTTATTTGGGAGTAATTATAAAGCTTTTGGGAAACCTCATCTCTTTTGAAGTCTCTTGAAAATCATGCCAAAAACAAGCCTTGGTATTGATACCAAGCCTCTTTGTATCGATATTGTCCTTCGGGTATCATACTCCTATCAAGGTATTGATACTTACAACTAAATTATATTGATGTAATTAGAAGGTATCGATACTCCCTTGAGTATTGGTACAAAAAATGAACATTGAAAAATGAGTTTCGATACCCACCAGGTTGGTCTCGAAACCAAACCTTGAGTATTTATACCCTTTAAATGAGTATCGATACTCTTCTCAAAATTCACCCCGTTTTGTGCTTTTATTATGAACTATATTGATATTGTTCTTATAATATTGATACTCTTCCTCGAAAATACCTTAATTGGGCACGAATTGGCCACTCAAACTCCCCAATTTTACTACTTGAGGTTTCCCAATAGTTATTAATGTTTTATGTGATCATATGGATCATAAATAAGGACTTTGAGCATGCTAAAACATCAAATATGAAATCTATTATGAAATGCATCACTAAGATTCATAACTCAACTCTTTAGCTATGATACGTTTCTAATTACCCATTATTAATATGAGGAAGTTGTGAACGTGTTACCTAATTTCATTTATTGCAAAAACCTTCTCAAATCAACTAAGAGGCACATTTTCTTTCCACTTGCTTTAGAACTTTCTCCCACCTCTTTAACTAAACAAATGTAAGATAAGAAATTAGTAACTTGTCTAAGGCTTGAAATAGAGTTAAGAATACTCAATATAACCTAAATTTACTAAAAACAAGCTTGAATCCCTTGATTCCCTTAAACCTCTCTAAAACCCATTTTTGAAATATATGACCAAAACTTGAGACTAGGGGCTTGAATTGAAGATTGAGGGATGGAGTTAAGGTTCTTACCTTGGTTGATTCAAATTAGGCTTAGGATTTCAAAAGCTTCATTCTTTATGCTTACTCTTAGGAAGAAAAAAGAAAGAGAAAATAAGAGAAAAAATGGATGAGTATTTTGGGGTAATGGTTCACGTGAAATCCTTTAAATATAAAGGTTTTTATCCTTTAATTTAAGCAATGGGTAAACTGCACTTTTGGTCCCTTTCTTTTTAACCTATACTAAAATCATCACTTATCTTTAACTCTTGGGCCAAACTTAATCTCAATATCATTTTAAATTGGTCCAAACTGGTTTAGGAGGTCTAATAGGCTCGACTTATAGGTCTCAAGTTAACACGAACTACTGACTCGGAATTCGGGGCATTACATATTCTTAGTTAAAAGCCATAATAGGTGGACTAACTTAGGTGAGTTCTCGATCTCCATGGTTGCCTGGGTTATAGAGGTTTAAATTAGTTGGAAATCAATTGGATATTGATTACCAGTAGTAATTAAGGTCGGATGATAGGAGCTTATATGGGTATGCTTACAACATTTTTTGCGTGTCTGTTTTGAGTCTCTTGCAAGTTGGCATGAAAATTTTCATAGAAACAATGGTTGATTGTTTGGAATAAGGGAAGCGTTCAAGTTGAATTGATGTTGTCAGGGGTTATTGATAGGTTGCGGTTGAACCGTCTGTTTTGGTATACGTTCTGTTGTTAGCGACGTTGATTTTAGCTAAGTGTGCTATGGTCGTGCATTCATGGTAATAATTACGGTTAGTTCAAAATTATGTGCTCTAAAGCCTTTTTTGAAACTGAAACTAATTATTTGTCTATTAACCGTTTGATTCTATCGCTGACTGAGGTTAAAGTCTCAAATCTCGGGATTAAAAATCCAGCTTAATTTTTCATCAACTTCTCGAAGGACTTTTGGAGTTTCTTAGCGTTTTCCTTCTCAGATCTATCTTTATAGTTGTATATCGTGTAAATGAAAATATAACTGGTGACTTTTACTCCATTAACTGTATCTTCAGACTGAGAAAAGTTACAGCTGATGATTCATATTGACAATGGATCTTATCAAAACATGAAACACATCATGAATACCCACGAGCTAAACGACCAACACTATCTATCAGTCTAATGAATATATGATTAGCACTACCCTTCTGGCCTAAACACAATACCTTCTTTGACGATTTCTCTTTTGTTTTCTGGATAGAAAATACTCCATATTTTCTAAAATTTTTTTATGAAAAAATCTTTGACGCTTTAGATCTAAGGCTTATTTTCATTCTCTTGTCCCTCAGTTGTGTTCATTTACCTATGGGGTCTCCTTTGTTTTGTCCGAATGTTTTCTATACTATGTGAATTCATCTGTATTATTTTCTTTGTGTTGATTGGGTGGAATTATTTTATGTACCGCCATCCCATAAAGCAAGAGAAACGGTGGTTCCTTTTCCTTGCACTTCATGGGAAAGTGTCACGGAGCTAAACTTCTGCTAGTCGATTCGTGCAGTACTTAGATGATTTCCAGGTCGAAATGGCACCTAAGTCAACCTTATCCACGTCCTTGTGAGTCTCTAGCTCACTAAGCAATGAACAAACCCTCAAGGGTTAAACAATAATTCGGAAGTTAAACTCAATTAGGGCTAATCCAAGCCACCTGGGTTGAAGCGGATCTCCGAAGCACGAGCACTGTGGGAACTTTCTAAGTCACCAAGACTTGAATCACTTTGGCACTTTGAAAGAACTCGGAAAGGAACACTCTCGAAGCTATCTCAGCCCTCACGATCGGTAACACAAGCCACAAAGGCTTCAGCACAAAGGAGAACAAGCCGACAAGGCTAGAAAGCTAGCGAGCTAGAAAACTAGAAATGAAGAACTCAGAGAGAGTAAGAGTAAATGCCTGAGTTTTATTACTATGAAGAGAATGAATCTGAATTGAATGATTACAAATGAGGGGAGGAGCTCTCTATTTATAGTTGAGGCCCTCAAGATTCAACGGTCTAGATCAAAGTACACCAACGACTTACATTGAATCCTACCTTATCAAAAACTCTACCTCTAAGGTATTTGAATTCAAATAAAACATTATCCATAATTAAATCCTTAATATTGGATAATATTATCCTTTCTGGAATCTTTCAAGGAACGGGCCAGGTCTGATGGTTCTGGGCAAGCCCAACACTCTGTATTATTCTTCTACAGAAATCTGTGCGCACATGTCTCGATCCGAATCCACGAACCTTGATAAAATTACCCCCATCGAACATGTAACACTATCGTCGCTTCTCTCGGACGCCTTGGACGCTTCGGACTTGATCATTCATGAACTCGATCCTTTACGGACTCGTAAGCATTCTCCAAGAACCGGGCCAACTCATCATGCCCAATAAGCCCAAAGTCTGCGCAATAGAACCCTTCTTGTGAACCTTTGCACCAATGTCCATTGACCCAAAAGTTTAGTTCGTGATAATCTCCCCCACTTGATTTAGCGATGCCCTCGTCACTAGGTGAGAACACTTGGTCTTGATCACCTTGGACGCTTTAACAAACACCTTGGCTTCCTCGCCTTGGTTAACACCGTCATGTTTGTTCACTATCTAACACACCGTGGCATTCATCTCGAACGTAGGAAATCCATCATACCCGTTTGCATTCACCCAAACAAGGATATTTTTGATCAAACGGCAAAGACTTGGATACCCCGGCAACATACAACACGACAACTCAGATTCGTCGACTACACTCGCTTGTCCCTAAGAACTCTGAAAGTCTCATATGTTCCTTCTAACCTTTGACAGCACCGCAACAAGATGGTTAGGTCCTCGACCTAAACTCATCAACAATGGTGAATCAAACTCAACACTTGAAACTTGTTTGAGATGTCACTCGATTTCCCTCAGCACATTTACTCTATGTGTTAGCTCTTCTTACTTAATGAAGTATGGCACTCCACACACCAACACTTCTATCCAGAAGTCTGTTACTTCTACTCGCATCGGCACTTCCTCCCTTGAAGTCTGGTGCGACTTTCACCCTCTTACATGGGTGGTAAGTTCTCACCCATCATATCTCTAGAAGGCTTGGACTCCATCAACCACTTCTCGGTTGACTCTTCGATGGTAGTCCCTAAAACAATATTCCTCTCCCTTGAAACATAATCAACAAACTGAATGGTAGTCACGGTCTTAGTTGCTCCCTTACTGTCTCAAAACAAAGGCACAATACATTGCCGTCGGGAGTCCAAGATGCATATGACATCGACAAACGGAAAGACAAAAGCCTTCACACGGTCAAGGAAACCCAACCCGATGAAAAAATCGAAGTCATCCAATAGGATCACTCTAAAGTACTCATTGCCATTCTAGTCACCAATTTGTAACTCTATCTTCCTGACCACTCCAGTAATTGGAACCTCTTTAGAATTAACAGTCTTGATCGCCCCCTTCGATGGTTCAACTTTCAAACCAAGATTGTCGGTAACCTTTGAATAAATCAGTTGCCCCTGTGTCTACTAAACTCTCGATTGTCCTGCAACGTTGATGTTCACATACATCAACCCATTCTGCTTTCGGCCTCCACTTGCCTTGGCAGAACTCAAAATCATTGAGCCAAGTCTCACAGCCTCATTGACCCTGTCTTCACCTATGTCTTTGGGTAACTCGATCTTGGGCTTGTCCATCTTCTCGGATGACTCAGCTTTATCTAGGTAAGCTTGCAACTCTCATGGCCCCTTACTTCGGTCCCCCCTCCGTTTGCTTATCTCTTGCCCTCGGCTTAAGGCACATGTCAACTTTATTTATGCCAACATTACACATGTCTTCTCCAGACTTGTGTTCACCACTTGAATGATCAGTGCTCAAATTCTCATCATTCGAACAAACTCCACTTAAACAAGTATCACTAGAAGAGTTTTGCTCCTCATCAGTGGACCGACCTTCATCTCATATTCTTTTGCCACTACCCACAGCTTTCAGATTCGGCTTAGATGTCTTCTTGACTCCAAGTTCTATGATGGACTTGGTGACTATCAAGGCTTTAGACAACTCATTGATTCTCATTCTCTCCATCTTCTTCTTCGCCCATGGCTTCAATCTATCTGTGAATGTGAAGAATGCATCTTCCTCAATCAACTATGGGACTTTGAGCATGAGTTCCTTGAACTGACTCGTATACTCCTTCAACGCCCCATTATGTCTAAGACTCATCAACTTAGATCATGCTTCATTCTCGTCATGCACTGAGCTCAACTGCTCTTGAAACATCTTAGGTTTTTTTGGCCCTTTGCCAACTCTAGCTTCCACAACAACGACTACCTCCTCTGCATCATTGATATGCTCCTTGGCAACATTGGGTTTGGGTACCCCATTCTACTTCTGGTTTTGACTAACCTTGGAAGAAGTAAATATCATTGAACCAAGCTTGGTAGGCTTCCTACTCTCAGCCTCGTACCCACCCTTGGACTGCTTAATTCGGTTTGGATATTCTCGCACTATGTGTGGACCTTTGCACCGGAAACACTCCAGTTGCGCTTGGTTCTTTACCCTCGGCTTTCTTGCTTGGCCCTTGGCTTTTTCACCGAGCTTTACTTCGTTGGTGCAATCTCGTACCTTGTGTTGTCCACCATACTGGAAACACTTCAATGGCTCTCGCTTCTTTACCTTCGGCTTATCTGTTTTGTCACTTACATTGGCACCGAGCTTTTCTTTGTTTGGCAACTCTTGGCCCTATGTGGTCCCTGACATAGGAAACACCCTAGTGGATCTCACTTATTTACCCTCGGCTTTCCTGCACCACTCGCATTCGTACCGAGCCTTGCTCCTAGCTTAACTGCTTCGACTCCCGCAATCATACCATCTTTGGCTACTTCCCCTTCTAACTTGTCTTCTCCTCTGACAAGGGCAGCAATCCGATTCTTCTCGGGATATCCTCTTATTATGTGAGGACCATCACAGAAGTAGCATTTAAGAGACTTGCTACTCACATTCTTCTTTGACACGGACATGGCATTGCTATGATTCCCCAATGGCTTTATCCAACCACAATCAGTAGATGCCACTTTTTGGCTACTCGAAGAGCTTTCTCCTCCATCTATCCACTGTCCCTTGCCATGGTCTCCCCCATTTTCATCCCTATCTTTAGGCATGGATCTAGACGACTCATCTTTGGTTGGCTTGACACCTGCAAGCTCACACATTGACTCATCTACAGCTCCCGCTTCTGAACAACACTGGGCATCACCTTGCTCACTAGCAAGCATCACCCCTGATCTAAGTCCTTTGACGAAGGTCTTGAGCACACCGCCATCACTCATTGCTCCCTTGCATATGAGTAGCTCACTCTTGAGCCCGTCCATCTCTTCCCTCAAGGCCATCACCTCGACCCTGAGCGCATTACTCATCTCTATCAACGTCCTATCATGGAGACTATATTACGCCACATCCTTAAACCTATTCCTCATGGATTCTAGTTGTTTAAGTCGGGACTCTACAACTCCCTAGACCTCCTTGGCTTCTTCCGTGAAACTCTCAAGGTTCTTGATCCTTATCTCCAACGATCATGGGATAACTCTCATGCTTTGTTTCTCTAGCTCAATCCCACCACCATGACTCTCCACGGCATTATATGTGGGAACATCTCCTCTTTATTGTGCCATCACGCTTCCTTTCCATAAACTTGACTGAAATATTCATTGAATCCACAACGACTTCCTTCAACTCGCTAAGATGCTTCTTATCACAAGATAAGCTCGGATCACTGTTGAATCCACAACACCTACACTCTGACTTACTCTGATTCGCTTTCACCAAACCACGTACAAAACGATTGTTGTCTTCCTGCAACGACTCACTCTTTCACTACTTGCCACAAAATTTGACTGATACACTCGTTGTTTCACCAAAAACTCTTTCTGACACCACTTGTGGTAGGGCTACGGCTACGCTCTGATACCACCTGTCACGGGGCTAGACTTCTGTTAGTCGATTCATGTGACACTTAAACGATTTCTAGGTCGAAATGACACCTAAGTCAGTCTTATCCACGTCCTTGTGAGTCTATGGCTCACTAAGCGATGAATAAACCCTCAAGGGTTAAACAATAATGTAGAAGTAAAACTCAATTGGGGTTAATCCAAGACACCTGGGTTGAAGCAGATCTCCAAAGCACGAGCACTGTGGGAACTTTCTAAGTCACCAAGACTTGAATCACTTTGGCACTTTGAAAGAACTCATAAAGGAACACTCTCGAGGCTATCTCAGCCCTCACGATCCGCTACACAAGCCACAAAGGCTTCAACACAAATAAGAACAAGCCGACAAGGTAAGAAAGCTAGCGAGCTAGAAAGCTAGAAATAAAGAACTCAGAGAGAGTAAGAGTAAATGCCTGAGTTTTATTACTATGAAGATAATGAATCTGAATTGAATGATTACAAATGAGGGGCGGAGCTCTCTATTTATATTTGAGGCCCTCAAGATCCAACAGTCTAGATCAAAGTACATCAACGGCTTATATTGAATCCTATCTTATCAAGAACTCTACCTCTAAGGTATTTGAATTCAAATAAAACATTATCCATAATTAAATCCTTAATTATTGGATAATATTATCCTTTCTGGAATCTTTCAAGGAACATGTCATGTCTGATGGTTCTAGGCAAGCCCAACACTATGTATTATTCTTCTACAGAAATCTGTGCACACATGTCTCGGTCCGAATCCATGAGCCTTGACAAAATTGCCCCCATCAAACATGTAACACCCTCGTCACTTCTCTCGGACGTCTCGGACTTGATCCTTCATGAACTCGATCTTTTACTGACTCGTAAGCATTCTCCAAGAAACGGGCCAACTCATCGTGCCTAACAAGCCCAAAGTCTGCGCAATAGAACCCCTCTTGTGAACCTTTGCGCTAATGTCCATGGACCCAAAAGTTTAGTCCGTGACAGAAAGTCTAGCCAGTAGGTTCAATGTTTTAGTAAATAGTGACACCTTTTTATGAATATTTTACCCCCTGTACTTTCTACCAAAAAAAATATTGTACAGAATTGCTCAAAAATCAAAAGCATTTGTTTATCACAAAAATTTCCTAGTGTCCATAGGTGGCAAAGTGTTTTATTAAACATTGGTTTTGTCATTTTCTTTTACTGTTTTGTAGGAGGATATGGGAACAAAATACCTAGTTCGACTGGTGGCTCGTGTTGAAGATGAGGAAGATGCTAGTGATTTCGAACAAGACGAGAATGGTGAGGATGATGACAACAAGGATGAAGATGTTGACGATGATGAAAGTAATGGTGGAAAAATTAAAACCCCATCCAAGAGGAAGAGATCAAACAAAGATTATGAGGACGATGATAGCGGAGAAGATGATGAGCGACCCTCCTAGCGATTAGACTGGCCCCTTCATGTTGGTGTTGGTCTCTTGAAACTATGTTATTGTTTTAGGAAAGACTGATAGGATGCGTAATGATGTGAATTCTATTTTTGGATGTATTGTATCATCATGGTTCAGTACTATTATCTGTTACATTGTTGTTTTGTTATGGTAATATGCTTATCTGAGATGAAAAAGAGCATGATTGTGGGGGAGTTGCTTTAAGATTTGTGTAATTTTAGGATGCTAGTTTAAACTGAGCATGGTTTTACTAGTATGTTTATTCCTCTAAATTTCTACAGTGTTGGATAAACTTGTCTTACTGCAATATTGGATTAGGCTGGACTGGACTGTCCTATATTTTGTGAAAATGGGTTGAACTACTATTTTATCCCAAAATTAGAGAATTTATAATATATATATGTAAATACACTGCACGTTTCATTAAAATGTATCTTTAGTTTTTATATATGACTCAATTAAAAAAATAAGTATCTCAATTATTTATTGTTTAATTTTTTTTCAAACAAAAAATTTATTGTTTAAAAGTTATCATTTAAAGTGTTTGATTGTTAATAATAATTGAAAACAATTTGTTATCCAATTAATGCTTGGTGTGTATCCTATTATTTTAAAAAATGATTTTATTTAAAAAACTTAAAATCTTTAATTTTTTAACATAAAATCTTAAAATCCGTTAAACCTTTAACTCAAAATCTATTAAGTTTTTAACCCTAATATCTAAATCTTATATATTGTGGTTGAATCAATCACCATCATCCAATTCTTTTGTTGTTGGATCCTATTGTTCGATTATCTTCTGAAATTATATGTTGTTGCACATTGTCTTTAAAAAAACACGTAAACTAATTTAAACAATTATTTTTCAATAATATATGTCAGAACAGTCTTTCGGGCGGGCCCATAATTAGTCTTCGACATGGATTAAACGCTTAGAAGTCGTCACCAATAATTTATTTTATGAAAAATGGGTTGATCGGATACCTTATTTCTTACCTGAATTGTGCCTTACCAAATATGTGTCGGATTCAGGAGTCAGTTACAGTCAAGGAAGGGTTTGCACCCTTAAACTGCCCTTTCGGTACTGCATAATTTTCATTTGTCTTTAATTAAGAAAATTGAAAGTTAAAATTAAAAGGTAAAATAACGATATGAATTTTTTACCTTAGATTGATTTGAAATCATCCTTAAACAATTTTAGAAACGTGTTAGAGAGAAAAAATGAAAATAAAATAGAGAAAAGACAATATAAATAAAGAAAATAACATGAAGATAGAAAGATAAAATAAAAAGGAATAAAAAATAAAAAAATATAGAAAAAATAAATAAATAAAGTGAAAATAAAAATATATACATATATAATATAAAGTAAATAAAAAATAAAATCATGGAAAAACAATTAATATAATAATAGGCGTATAAATAAAATATTAATAGTATATATATATATAATATAATATAATTATCAGAACATTCTTTCGGGCGGGCCCGGAATTGGGCTTCGACATGGATTAAATGCTTAGAAGTCATCACCGATAATTTATTTTATGAAAAATGGGTTGATCGGATACCTTATTTCTTTCCTGAACTGCGCCTTACCAAAGATATGTCGGATTCAGGAGTCAGTTACAGTCAAGGAAGGGTTTGCACCCTTAAACTGCTCTTTCGGTACTGCGTAATTTTCAGTTGTCTTTAATTAAGAAAATTGAAAGTTAAAATTAAAAGGTAAAATAATGATATGAATTTCTTACCTTAGATTGATTTGAAATCATCCTTAAACAAGTTTAGAAACGTGTTAGAGAGGAAAAAATGAAAATAAAATAGAGAAAAGACAATAGAAATAAAGAAAATAACATGAAGATAGAAAGATAAAATAAAAAGGAATAAAAAATAAATAATATAGAAAAAATAAATAAATAAAGTGAAAATAAAAATATATACATATATAATATAAAGTAAATAAAAAATAAAATCATGGAAAAACAATTAATATAATAATAGGCGTATAAATAAAATATTAATAGTATATATATATATATATAATAATAATAAAATATAATATAATAGAAAAATAATCAAACAAAGATAATCAAAATATACATATAATAATAATAATAAGTTTATAAATAAAATATTTAAAAATATATGCATATATATAACATTATATATAACATAAAAAATAATTAAAATATATATACAATAATACGAATAATAAAAGGAAATAAATAAAAATATCTATATAATAAATAAAGGACTAATATGAATGAAAAGCCAAAATTGGGGCCAATGGAAAATGATTAGCGTCAGAATTGCAAATTAGGGGTAAAATGGAAGTTTCAAACAATAGGAGGACCAAAAGTGTAGTTTACCCTTTTTCTTTAAAAAACACGCGGATCTAACATGGGCACAGGTCAGGTCGGGTCGTGGAGGTCCGATGGGCTTAGTATAAAGCCAATTTTTTTTAAATTCTTTATTTCTCTTCTTCTTTCACGAACGACCCTCCCCTCTTTTCTGATTTATCTCATTGTTCATCCAAAAAGATGAACAAACACCGTGATTTCCAGAACACGATCGCCGCGCCACCTTGCCAGCCACCGTTCATCGGTGGTAAAAATTGTATTTTTATATATTTTTTTCAAATCTCGAAAACTTTATAAACCTAGTTTCCAAAAACCAAAACGTTACGAATGCAGATCTTGCAAACGCCTCCTTCCTCGTCCTTATCAAACCAAAAACGGAAAAAAGAAGTGAAACAAGATACATACAAGCGAACACTGAAGCAATATAGGTAAAAATACCTCTTTTATTTCTCTCTGAACCGTACAAAATGTTTCGATTTGCTCGTATTTCTTTTGGCTTTTTCGTTTGCTTGTGTACTGCTAATCTTGCGTTTAATCATGTGGGTATTTCGTGTGAAATCGTGTCTTCCAAATGTTTTAGTTTACACTTATTTATAGCAAAAGAAAATTCTATTCGTAGACTCATAGTCGAATTAGAACTCTAATGCATGTTGGTTGCTTTGGTTGTTGATGTGGGATCTTCATGCTCTCTTTACACCGAAGGAATCGGAGATGGTGGCGTGGGGACTTTAAACGAGGGAATGTCGCTCTAGGGTTTTTAGAAACCCTTGGTGCTCGGGTTTGCCTTTGAGGCTGATTCGGGTAGGGTTCCAGTGGATACGGGTCACGAGTTTGGGCTCCAAGTTAGCTGCTGATCACCAAACGGTTCTTCTGCTGGGACATCTAGGCTTCTGGGCCACTTGTACTTGTAATGGCTTTGGGTCATATGATATGTAATGGACCTGTAACATGTAACAACATTGATTAATAAAATAATAATACACATATATGATATATATATATATATATATATATATATATATAATATAAATATATATGTATATTTCGATTAGAAAAAGTGTGTCTACAGCTGCCCCTTTTTGCCAATGATCGTGTAACGGGGATATGGCAAAGATTAAAAGACACACTTTCCGCTTAACATGAATATATCCAAATATAACACCATCCATATAGGGATCAACCCCATCGAATATCCTTTGTTGTAGAGTTGAAATCCGATGTCGGGACTGGTTAGTCGATTTGGATTGAATCACGAAATTCTTCACTTTTCGTGAGGTTGAGTTGAAACTGAAAAATTCTGAGCACGGAATCCTTCGTCATGAAGTTGAAATCAAACTCAGAGTATTAGAAAGTAGCTCATGGATCGTCTTCTGGCCCAAGATACTTCGTCGTGAAGGTGAAACTTGACCTGAAGACTTTGGTATTGTCATGTTATAGATGACCCATTCGTTGTGAAGTTGAGTCAATCTGTTGGGGTACAATACCCTTCGTTGTGGAGTTGGAATCATATATGGCCCTTTCGTCGTGAAGTTGAGCCTTAGAATTGGATATCCTTCGTCGTGAAGTTGAAATCCAATGTAAGTTGCATTGATTCAAGGCCAATATCCTTTGCTGTGAAGTTGAAATTGACTCTGAAACTGGAAAGTTTATTGGCAGACACTTCTTCTTTGAGTTGGATATCCTTCATCATGAAGTTGAAATCCAATCTAGAGATGGATGCTACTTGTGTGTACGATTTCCTTCGTCGTGAAGTTGAAACCGTGGATGGCTCATTCATCGTGAAGTTGAGTCTTGACTTGAATATCCTTCGTCGTGAAGTTGAAATCCAAGCTTGTGTTGTTTCGAGTCCAATATCATTCGTTGTGAAGTTGAAATTGGCTCTAAATAAAACTGGGAAGCCCCTTCGTCGTGAAGTTGAGCTTTGAATTGGATATCATTTGTCGTGAAGTTGAAATCCAATATAAAGTTGGCACGATATCCTCCGTCGTGGAGTTGAAATCGTGGATGGCCCATTCGTTGTGTAGTTGAAATCCAAGTATTGTTTGGCTTCGAGTTAGATATCCTTCGACGTGAAGTTGAAATCTACTCTCGAGCAAATTGTGTCAGTTCAAGTCCAATATCCTTCGCTACGAAGTTGAAATTGGCTCTAGTTAAAACCTGCAAAGTTATGCATATATGTGATGTTATAGATGCAATGCTCTTAGGTATGCCTAAAATACGTATGCAAAATATGTTATTTTGGGCTATGGAGAGAAATATTGATCTCTAGTTGCCTATCTGGAATCTTGATTATGGAATCTTGAAGTTCTGATTCCCGATCCTGAATTCTTCAAATGTGTAAATATGATGTTCTTTGTTCCTTGATTTGGGAAATGCATCTCGACCATCTCAAGTATGTGCATGAGCCTTGATCGGCTTCCGGGTACCTGTACTTTTCAATGACTCTTTGTACAGTAATATACGATTATCTTTTGCATGAGTAAATAAACCATTAAGTTTAAGTTCAATCCAAGATGCTCAAGAGGAATTGATTTAGAGAAAAGATTGTCTTTATTCATAAGGGGAAAAAAACAAATAATACATGACAAACACTCTGGAAAATTAATACATGATGAGGTATGTATGAATGTC